GCCCACACCCTAGTGAAGGAACTGTGCGCGGGACTGTCCAACCTGCACACCTACACCGAGCAGAGGTCTAAGATCTTCCCCGTCGACTCCACAACAGGACCCATCAGCGCTGTCAACCAGAAGGTGAGCTGACAGACACTAAGGGTCGGACGTTTGAAAAAAATTAAACCTTTTATTTATTCAGTCTGTTTACTAGTTTAATTCAAATAGAAAGAAAAACACCACTTTGAAAACATTTCCATTTATAAAACGTCACAAGCACTTTAATACTTTTTCTTTTGCAAGAAGTTTTATTTATATTGATTCCAAGGTCAGTCATCGTGTACAGTTCGTTGTATTTGATATTTTCAATACATTGGCCAGCAACGGTCATTGCTCACTACATCTACTACATGCAACTGAAACCGGTTGGCTAACATTTAAAGTGGGGTGCAGGTGAAATGTTCACTAAGTGGTAACCAAATTATACGCAGAGTTCCCTCCTTACTTCATACCCGGAAATTGGCCTTGTTCACAAGTCGGCCATGCTGAATTGAAACTTTATTTTGCCACCTGAAAATAAAAGCACTGAAAAAATACTTATTTACAAATTAATGCCATTTATGCTGGTAAATAATTTAATATTTGTGATTTATAATATCTAAATGTTTCTAAGCCTCATAAGAAAATGCTCATGAGGCATGGAACCCAAACTAGTCTGGCACCTCACCCCACCTTTCAACAGATTTCATTGAACAGGCTCGATTCAAGGAACCTGATCAAAAATGGCTTCCTTTTGTATAAGCTCTGTTAAACTTTTCTTTGGAAATTTGTCTGTGCAGTTTTGTAGCTACCTCCATGAGAATGCATCCTACCTACGTCCGGTGGAGCAGGCCTTCAAGAACTTCCTTGACAACATTCGAGAGGAATCACTCACAACTCTAGTAAGATCTCATCTGTTTTTCACCAAACATTCTCAGTGCCATTGATTTTCATTTTACGTCATGTTTTTTCTTCATCATAAGGTGAAACCAAAGTAATTACAGGCTTTTTTCTATCTGAATTTTTCAGTCACTGGCTTTCCTCTCTCAACATATGCCTATTATAAAAGAAACAGAATTTTCAAAGACTCTTTATTTTGTTCCTCTCGAGCTAGTTTGGCCTTCCCTGGCCACTTTGTGGGGCAGCAGGCACTTGAATCCTGATAACACAGTCCAGCCAAGGTAGTGTGTGGACACTCAGACCTGTATGAATGTAAATTGAACATGTAAGTCATATTCAGTTGAAACAAGGCAGACAGTTGGCAAAGTGGGATCATGTTTGATTGCTGGCTGTCGACGTCAAGATCCTCAGAGTTAACCCATACGAACATGTGCATTGACATTATGACATCTTTCCCGCATGAGCACCATGTAGCTGTCCCATTTTCTCCTTACAACTAAGAAATAAAACCTTTGTCAACAAAGAGGAAATATATCAAGCTGAAATACCAGTTTTGTTTGGGAAATGGTATGTAACCACCAAAGAAAAGGCATATCACACAAACAGTTTTGGAAATGCAGGTGCCATTTTGTTTCAGTTTTTGCTCGATTGACATCCAATCTCATGCATAACTGTCTGTATCATAACATCTCGTGTGTTGAGGGTGATTATTACATCTGTATTGTAACTAGGCTTTACAGTATGTTGTGACTTGCCAAAAAAGCATGCATGCCCAGTGATAACCAAGTGAATGCAGTCAAGACAGCAGCATCCTTACAGTTTAACTATAACTTTTTCTACATATGATCCCCCACTCCACCGCTTCGATACCATAGAGAAATGTCATATTTTGAGCAGATTTTTTCACTCTGGAATGTGCTTCCCAGATAAGCTAAATACTTGTATATTGCAGGTGAACCCCTTTTTAAATTTCACTGACCTCTTTGTTTTCCAGGAAACTGCCACAGAACTCCAAGATTTCTCAGCCAAGTTCAGCAAGTACATTGCCTACCTAGAGAAGCTTCTACCCTACCAACTACTTAGGTGAGCTTCACAGTGGCATAGAGCACCGAAGTGACTATGTTACATGCACAAAGTGTGTGTGTAAAAGGCATTAGAGTGAGAATCAGCGCGTGTACCAGCACACACACGTTCTGCTTTCGTTTGCGCTACACTCGCTGGTTCACACTTTGGTATTCAATAAACATTGTATGTTGGGGACAGAAATACAATAAATAACGGTAAATTATCTGACTGGTTTATTGAGGGAAGGAGTCAAAACATTCGGAGACAACAGACTTTTTTACCTATGGACACTTTGCCTACTTTGTTTTGACTGCTGGTGATATATGGACATCATCATATTTGTTGTGAGGGTTATGGTTCCTTCATACATGCTCATTTGCACCGTTTGCTCATATTAAGAAGAAATTTTCAAACTGGATATCTGACAGTTGTAGCCCCACAGAATAACATCATCAAAAACACAATATAACGTCTGTGTTTTGTAAATAATGCTTGTGCCCAAGCATGGCATCTGTGAATTGATGGGACAGAGCCCACTGTAGTGCTTGCTCAGAGCTGATAAACAGCCCTCGCTGGTAATACTCAAAAAGTATTTGGTCCCTCCTCTGCCTCTGCGCACAGCCTGGAGGAGGAGTGTGCTTTATCCACTTGCCCGCAGACGCTGGAGTCCCGCAACATGGAGCTCCACGCCTCCTTCAAGAAGCTCACCGCCGCCCTCGCCAAGCTGGACACCTACCTCGCGGTCCTGGCCGCCGTCAGCACCCAGTCGTGTGACTACCCACAGGCCAATCACAGGATGTTCTTTGAGAAGCTGTCCGAGTGCTGCCAGAACCTCTCCAACGTCATGAAAGGTGGGGTGGCATCTTTTTTGTCGAACTCTAACCCTTCCGGATCCACCAAAATCCACCGAGGAGGCATTGGAAGAGTTTTGGTGGTAATGGAAAGTCATTTACATGTAGCTTCATTCTCCTTGAAAGTTGATGTGGAAGTTGAGGGAATGTGCCATTGGTTTATAGCACTACGTACAATAAATGGGGCTAGTAGGTTACTTTCACGTCAGCAGTGTTTCCTCGGATGGTTTCACCATTTTTGCCATGCCTTGAGCACTTCACAACCTGTCCTTCACGTGTTTCAATGTGGAGGCTGTAACTGGATTAAGAGGCTAGGTCCGAAACACTTAGCTTTGGCTTGAAATTATACGCAACTATATGGCAACTGGCTGCAGCCACTACCATAGAAACGAGTGTCATTTTAGGCCGCAGCCAAGTAATTCGGACATGGCCAAGCAGGAGAGTGACCTATGTTTTGAAATACAAATCAGTGTCCATTTTAATGCAGAAACTGACGGGTAAAGTTTGCTGTGTCTGTGTTCATCTGGAAAAGAGAAATAACAACTTTGTTTGAACATATAGTGCTCTACTGTCTATTCAAACTACCGTCAGCATGCGTGTTTAGAAGCATTACATGTTTTTGGGTGTTGGAACACTTTACAGAAATTGAAAGTCATTCATGGGGAAACATTAAACATTGGTGGCTCCCTTCAATACATTCAGAAATGCTCCTATCAAAAATGCATAGGAATGCAAAATTGTTGATCTCATTTGTTGTGGGTAGGTTGTAGTTGAATCCACAAGTGCTCCAAAGTCCCTACCAGTCTCCACAAGTCCACCGCAAGTCATCCAGACTTAGAACCAGGTCACAAGCTAGCCAAATCAACTGTGAAGAGCATTCCCTTGTCTGTGTTTATCCTGTTACTTGTGACTGGAAGTTAGGAAAAGACTTGCAGCTAGTCTTATCTATGGACTTGTGACTGGACTTATAAAGGAATTATGATGGTCTAGATTACACCCTTAACTTGGGCGGTTTCAGAATTGTATTGAAACCATAAAAATTTCATGCCAAGAAGAAGCACACGACTGATTTCTCAACTCGGTGTGCACAAGTTTATGGCACACTTACGTGAGAGAACGTCCTTGAAGATTCTTGGTAACCCACTCAACACAATGCTTTGTGTGCACACCGTCGAAAATGGGCCGGAGTGCATGTACTCATGACTGATTCTCAAGTGAGTGTGACAAACCCGCTCTACCTCTACACAGCATGTGCTTTTTGGGGGCTATTTTTGGCCAACCTAAGGACATAACTGGCCTCAAGTAGTGACTTGATTTCCGGGTTACCTGTTGGCTTTCTTCATTTCTGTAGATGTGTCAAAGAACTACAACTTCAAAGTGTCGCTAGAACACCAACTTCCCACTGCATCTCAGAAGTTGAGAACCACAGATGAGTGTGTCGTGTCATCCCTTATATCGCTGGTCACATGTACGGGCAAGGTGAGGCAAGAAATCAGTGTTGCTTTACATGTAGTTAGACTAGTTTTAAAGAAAAATAAATCTACAATATATGGTCATGTTTATTTGCAAGGATTTCAACCGTAACAGTCCTCGAGCCCCCAATTTCAATACGATTTTACATGCACCCTGCTGTATATGGTAACCTGATGTCCTAGTAAAATGAGTCACAAATCTTCAGAGCTGCTGATTATTTGAAGGCCTTTAATCAAATCTTTTGTAATGTAGATTGGTAGGAACCCACATAGTACCCATTGTTTTCAGGATGTCAAAGTGAGTGATACATTGAAAAGGGAAATATAAAGGAGTGAGCTTTCTAGTAATTTCATATAGTGGTATGGTTGTTCTTTATTGTCAAGAAAGGACATTAAATTTTCCGTTTCTCGGGTCACCTTAGTATTGCCTGTGGCACCTTATTATTGCCTGTGTCACCTTATTGCCTGTGTCACATTATTATTGCCTGTAGCACCACCTTATTGCCTGTGGCACCTTATTATTGCCTGTGTCACTTTATTATTGCCTGTGTCACCTTATTATTGCCTTTGTCACCTTCTTATTGCCTGTGGCGCCACCTTACTGCCTGTGGCTCCTTATTATTGCCTGTGTCACCTTATTATTGCCTTTGTCACCTTATTGCCTGTGGCACCTTCGCTATACAGATTGCCAATTTCACCAAGAGCAACCTGGAGTTTCTGTCCACCCCACCCGGTTTCCGGACGAGGGGCCACACCTTCATCGGCACCAGTCAGTTTGAGGGGGCCATCTCATCGCCCGCTGTAACTGCCCTGAGGCAGAAAGCTGTCAACTACATGACGGCGTTGTCTAAGGTATAAGACCAATTTCAGTCATTAATATCAGTTGAAAGGGATCCTTCTTACAGCTGCAAAGTAATAGTTTCTTTTGAACCCCTGGCCAAATGATGCATGTGTGGACGTGGAAATGGTGGTCTCAGAGAGTGTGAGGAAATCTGTGACTGACAAGAAGATGGGACATTTAGTCAGGAATTTGTATCCTGTGTTAGACATGAGTGTAATACAGCAGAAATAACACTCAAGGAAAATGTTGAATAGTCCAAAAATTAATTAGCACTGTTAACCCCTTGACGACAGGAACTTTTTTCTGAAAGCTGACTCCGAGAATTCCAGCTTCGCTTGGCCACGAAGGCCACCTGCCAAACCGCAAATTCTCGGTTTGTGGCCCTGCGTGCTCTGCACACTTTGAATTACACGGTGAAAAGGCTGATTGTTCGGTGGTATGCAGCTCTACTCACACTTCCACATTCCTGTTGCCTCTTTTCAGAGTGGGGACTATTGTGAAGCTGGTGATT